AAGATCGAGAGCGATAAGAAGTCACTATATAATCTCTTATATAATCTATCTTAAACGAAGTTAATAGAGCTATAGCGCTATCTAAAGAACTCTCTTTAGAAAGATTAAATTCGTCACTCAACTTTTTTAGCCGAAATATCGATCCTTTTTATTCTTAAAAAGGATAGAGGGCTTTATCTTTACGTTGATTATCGAGGCCTAAACGCGATAATTATTAAAAATCGATACCCGCTATCTTTAATTATTAAGACTCTAAATTATTTATATAGAGCTAAAGTCTTTACGAAGCTAGATTTTAAGAATATTTATTATCGAATTCGAATTAAAGAAGACGATAAGTGAAAAACAGCGTTCCGCAGTTATTACGACCACTTCGAATATTTAGTTATATCTTTTAGACTCGCTAATATATTAATAATTTTTTAAATATATATTAATAAAGCTCTAGCGGGTCTAATAAATATAACGTATATAATATATTTAGATAATATTCTAATTTATAATACTAATCTAGCGAAGTATTAGCGATACGTTAAGTAAGTACTTAAGCGTCTACGCTAGTTTTAACTATATATTAATCTAAAGAAGTATTAATTCTATATTAAACGAGTTAAGTTTCTAGAGTTTATTATATCTATCGAAGATATTATAATAGATTAAAAATATATCGCTATTATTAAGAAGTAGCTAAAATTAAAAAGTTATTAAAATATATAAGTCTTTTTAAACTTTATTAATTTCTATCGATAATTTATTTATAGCTATTCTAATATAGTAATATTATTTACTAATTTACTTAAAGAAAGTAAGAATAATAAGAAATCTAGATTACTAGAGTAAATAGATAACGCGAAGCTAACGTTTTAATAGCTTCGAAGTACTTTTATAACTATATCATTTCTACGCTATTACGATTTAAATTTAAAGCTATATCTTAAAACCGACGCTTTTAACTTTAATATAAAGACTATACTTTTATAATCGAATAAAAATAATTATTAGTAATTAGTAATATTTTAATTTAAAAAAATAATTTCTATAAAGTAAAACTATAAGATCTATAACTAAGAGCTATTCGCTATTATAGCGTTTATAAAGTAATAATATTACTATCTAGAAGATAGTACATTTTATATTAAAGTTTTAACGAATTATAATAATCTTAGAGACTTTATAAAGTAGAAGAAATTAAACTTTAGATAAACTCGTTAAACGTTAAAGTTAGCTACTTATAACTTTAAGATTTTTCATTAAATAAATAAATTAAACTTTATTAACTCGCTATCGCGATACTTTAACTACGAAAGAACTTCGTCGTTAAATATTAAACTTTTATCGATATTATAGAATAAACTTATATTTTAAACTAGCGACGAGTAATTATAAAGAGATAAAAAGGTTATAGCGGCGATAGCGCCCGTATTTCGCATTATTAACATTTAAATAATTATTTCTAGAAGAGAGTCTAAGGCCGTATAAGAGACTACTTATAACGTATCTTAAAGATTAATAAAAATATTAATTTAAGATCTATAAGCTTATAATGATTAAGTAAGCTCTTTTCGAATTAATATTACTAAGTTAATAATTAAGTATCGCGCACGTAATTAAGTATAGATCTTAGATTTCGAGAAACTATTAAGATATAATAGTCGCCTTTATATCTCTAAAAATAAGATCTTAAAAAAAGAGCTCATTAGTAAATACTATAATAATTCGTTATTAAAATACTTTAACGCTATAAAGACGTATAAGCTACTTACTCATAAATATTATTAGAATAAAAGTCTAAAGTAAGTTATCGACTATATTAAGATATATAACGTTTATTAGTAGATTAAAGCTTCGCGATATCGTCTATATAGCGAGTTAAGCTCGCTTTTTATCGTTATTAAGCTATAAAAGAAAATTTCTATAAACTTTATTATCGACTTACTAGCGAGTAAGTATAAGAATATTATTTATAATACTATTCTAGTTATAGTAAATCGATTTATAAAAATAATAAGATATATTTCTATATTTATTATAATCGATATCGCTTAGCTAGCGAAAGTATTTTATTTTAAAATAGTATATCGCTATAATATACTAAACGATATTATTAATAATAGAGACTCTATATTTACTAGTAGCTTCTAGTCCGCCGTTTACTTTTATTTTAAAATTAAGCGACGCTTAAGTATTATCTTTCACTTATAAACTAACGAGTAAACTAAGCGGTAAAATTAGATACTAGAATACTTCTTACGCGTATTCATTAATAATAAGTAAAACGTTTAGACAAAATAATTATTAATAATAGAGTTCGCTTATATAAATAGTTAATATTTCTTTATTAAAACGATATCGTTCTTTCTAATATATAAATATTATTCTAAAATCTATTAGAAGATCGAGAACGACTTCGTTAAGGGGGAGATATCTATTATAAATAATAGAATAAAGAAATTATAAGTATTAAGGGATAAGATAGTAGAGCGCTTTTATAGCGTGGTTA